CGGCGGGAGGCCACAGGGAGGGCGGACGGGCGTCGCGAGTCTTCACCGGCCGTTTCCGGGGTCTCGTCAGATGTGAGTCCCGATGGAGCAGCCCGAGCAAGGCGAGCAGCCGGCGCCGCGGCAGCCATGGGGCAGGCTCCTCCGCCTGGGCGCCGAGGAAGGCGAGCCGCACGTCTTGCTGTGGAAGCGAGAGTGGACCATTGGGCGGAGGAGAGGTACGGAGGCCGGGCCGGGGCGGAGGAGAGGGGCCGGGGCCGGGGCCAGGACGAGGTCGGGCCGACGAACCCACTCCCACTCAGTTGTGGGCAGGCCCCGGGGGCAGGGATGCGCCGTGCTCTCCAGTTTTTCCTGTGAAATGGGCTCTCGTTATAAGAGCTGCCATTTATTCACTTGTTTCTCTGCCCAGTCACTTTTCTGAGTGCTTCGTGCACATCATTTAACCCTCATTGTAACTGTATAAAGTAGTCGCATTAATATATCCTCCAGAATGCAATGTTCTCAAGTTCATTAGTATACAAAGTATCTTGTCTGATCACAGTGGAATGAAATTAAAAGTCAATAACAAAGGGAAAACTGGAAAATTCACATGTGTGTGGAAATTAAACACCACATTTTTAAACAACTGATAGGGCAAAGGAGTCGTCACAGGCGATGTTAGAAGATACCTAGAGACAAATGAAAACGAAAATAGAATATTCCAAAATTTATGGGATGCAGCTAAAGCAGCGCTCAGAGGGAAATTTAGAGCTGTAGTGCCTACATGAAAAAAGATCTCAAACCCAAGCTTCTAGAATATTTATTTAATAAACCTGGGAAGCTAAGGACTTGAACAAAATCACACAACTACTGAAAGAAGATGTCCCCACCCTTCACACTTACTACCTCTAGACTCCTAAGTGACCATCTGGTTATTTGACTTCCTTGTAGCTTTCCTACAGGGAGAGAAGTGCATTGGTCAGGTTAACAAAAATATTCAGTTTATCTGAAGAGTAATAAATTAGCACTTTGACTTTATACTTTGCAAAAAGGGGGGAGGGGGCAGAGAATGATTAAAATAGCTATTTAGAAGCAAATGGTTTTTTGTTAATTTTACCCCTTATACAGGTTGAGCATCCCTAATTAGAAAATCCAAAATGCTCCAAAATCTTTTGAGCACCAGTGTGACACTCAGAGGAGTATTTTGGATTTCACATTTTCAAATTAGGGATGCTCAACTGGTTAAGTATCTGCAAATATTCCAGAATCTAAAAAAAAAAAATCTGAAATTTGAAACACCTCTGGTCTCAATCATTTTGGGTAAGGGATACTCAACCTGTAATGCCCTGCACGTTTTTTTTGTTTGTTTGTTTCATTGGCAATCTTAGGTCCCAATATCAAGTTAAAAACTTTTTTTGAGGGGCCGGCCCAGTGGCGCACTGGATAGTGCACCAGTTGGGAAGCGCGGCGGCGCTCCTGCCCGAGGGTTCGGATCCCACATACAGACCAGTTCCCGCTCACTGGCTGAGTGAGGCGCGGGAGCAACGCCGAGGGTTGCGATCCCGTTGCCGGTCCCCGGTCCGGTACGGGGGCAACACTGAGGGTTGCGATCCGTTGCTGGACACGGAAAAAGACAAAAGACAAAAAAAAAAAAAAAACTTTTTTTGACAAGTTGGAAAGCATTACATATCATTTGAAACTTTTAAAAATGCTTTAATTGTCTTCAATTGATATTCTAGGAGGTTTAGTGAAGAGCAGAGGCCTGGGAGACAAATGGCCCGGGTTTCCAAACTCGCACCAACATATAACTTGCTTTGGGCTAAAAACGTACCTTTCTGTGCCTTTTTTTTTTTTTTTTTTAATGATGACTGGTAAGGGGATCTTACTCTTGATTTGGTGTTGTCAGCACCACGCTCTCCCAAGTGAGCTAACCAGCCATCCCTACAGAGGGATCCGAACCCGTGGCCTTGGTGTTATCAGCACCACACTCTCCCAGCTGAGCCATGGGCCGGCCCCTTTCTGCGCCTTTGTACCTTCTTCATAGAGTTGCTGTGAGGATTTAATGAGATACATGAACTGCTAAGAAGGAGCTTGGTTTAGAGTTAACACTTGTTAGCCATTGTTATTATAACACATTATACATGTTATTACATATTAAGGAGCAAAAAACATGTTAAGCTGATCTGCTTAAATAGAAATTCTTTTAGTGAATGTACTCATAACGTTGTCAGCAAAAACATAAAGATTGTTGTACTAGTCTGTTAATACTGCCATAACAAAGTACCACATTCTGCGTGGCTTAATAGATACGTTGTGGAGGCTGGGATGTTCAAGATCAAGCATTATTTTGGGGAAAAGGGCACCGAATTAATATGTGTTGATGTGTAGGAAGGAATACAGGAACCTGGCTTTCTCAAAGAGCTCCCTGTTCTCACAGAGTAGCAGAAATGTACACCAGCCATGCTAGAGATTTGAATGGGAACTCAATGAATGGGAAGCAGGGCAAACACCAAGAATAGAACTTTAGTACAGAGCATCTTGGTTCCAAATCAGAATGCTATTGTTCCGAGGTGGAAAAGCCTCTAGTAAAAACCCACTCAGGTCACACAGTGACTGGCACTGGAACTGGGGCTTCAAGGAGATCATCCTGGTTGTTATGCTTAGTGCAATAGGAAGATGTTGACCACAGGTGATATTTGCCTTGAATAAATGTAACAAAGTACGTCCAATAACGTAGAATGTTTGTGCAAATAAGATTCTTAATAATCCAGTTTTATGGAGGTGTAATTTGCATATGGCAAAATTCACCTCTTTTGGTGTCAGTTCCTTGAATTTTGAACCACCACTATAGTCAAGATGCAGAACATTCTTTCATGCCAAAAAGTCCCCTGATGGCCCTTTGGAACCAATCCCATCCCCTTAGTGCCAGCTCCTGGCAACTACCAGTCTGATTTCTGTCTCTTTCTTCTGCCTTTTCCAGAATGTCATCTATGTGTACTCACACAGTATTCCACTACAGCCTTTTGTGTCTGGCTTCTTTCCATTGACAATGCTTTTGAGATTCATCCTTTGCTGTTGTGTGTATCAGTAGTTTGTTCCTTTTTATTTCCGGGTAGTATTCCACTGTTTGGATGTACCACAGTTTGCTTATTAGTTTACTATTGGTTGATGGAAGTTTGTAGCTTCTTGTTTTTGGTTATCAGAAATAAGCCTACTATAAGCATTAGTGTACAGTCTTTGTATGGAAATACATTTCTATTTCTCTTAGCTAAATACCCAGGAGTGGGATTAGGTCATGTGGTAAGTATAGGTTTATCTTGATAAGAAACTGCAGACAGTTTTCCAAAGTGGCTGTACCATTTTTCGTTCCCACTAGTAATGTATGAGAGTTCAGTTTTTCCACTTTCTCCTAGGCAACACTTGGTGTGGCCAGTCTTAATTTCTCAGCCAGTTCTTGTTTAGTGTGTAGTGGTATTTCATGGTTTTAATTTGCATTTCTCTGATGACTAATGATGATGCTCATCTTTTCATGTGTTTATTTGCCATCCATATGTCTTCTTTGATAAACTATTTAAATCTTTTTTAATTGCATTGATGGCTTTCTTTTTTTTTTTTTTACTGACCAGTAATGGGATCACAACCCTCGGTGTCGCGCCCGTACCGGGGACCGGCAACGGGATCACAACCCTCGGTGTTGCACCCGCACCGCGCTCAGCCAGTGAGCGGGAACCGGTCTCCACATGGGATCCGAACCCTTGGCGGGAGCGCCACCGCGCTCCCAAGCAGCGCACTCTCCAGTGCGCCACCGAGCCGGCCCGATGGCTTTCTTTTTTTTTTTTTTACTGACCAGTAATGGTATCACGACCCTCGGGGTCGCGCCCGTACCGGGGACCGGCAACGGGATCACAACCCTCGGTGTTGCACCCGCACCGCGCTCAGCCAGTGAGCGGGAACCGGTCTCCACATGGGATCCGAACCCTTGGCGGGAGCGCCACCGCGCTCCCAAGCAGCGCACTCTCCAGTGCGCCACCGGGCCGGCCCGATGGCTTTCTTTTTTATTGAGTTTTTTAAGACCTTTATCAGATATGTTTTACAAATATTTCTGCCCCATCTGGCTTGTCTTTTCATCATCTTAAACAGTTTCTTCCCCCCCGCCCCCCCAATTTTGTTACACAGTCTCTTTTGAAGAACAGGTATTTACTTTCTTTTTTTTGTTTTTTTGGCTGCTGGCCTGTACAGAGAATTGAACCCTTGACCTTGGTGTTAGAAGGCTGTGCTATAACCAGCAGAGTTAACTGGCTAGCCTCTATGAACTTTTGAATCAACTTGTTAGTTTGTACAGGCCTTCTGGGATTTTGATTGGGATTGCATTGAATCTGAAAAAATCTGGGGGAGAACTGTTATCTTAACAATATTGAGTCTTCTGATCCACACACCCATAGGGCAATGATGGGATCAAGGCCCAGGCAAAGGAGAATCAGGTTGTGATTCCATGCGGAACATTTAGGCAAAATAAATTTGCATAGTCACTGTCTCCTTGCCAAATTCTTCACTTTTTAATTGCCTGTAATATCTTATAATATTTTTATGTATTATCATAGACTACAATTATAAGCAGTAATGATTAGATATAAAAAGCTTCTGAAAGCTTTTGTTCTTTTGATTTAAGAAGAGAGCAAGTATTTGAGGATTTTTCCCTCCTACATTTAATGATGATATAATAATTGTATTCAGTTATAGATGCATTCCGCTTCTGTTTTATATTTTCTTATACATGTACATGTGCCTATGATGATTTGCTCAATCATATTTCTGTGACTTTGTCATAGTTTCAATTTTATGATGACTTATGAAACCTCTGTGAATGAAACAGAAGAAATTAAGAGTTAAGATACTAAAGAATTAATTAAACCCCTTAGTTTTTGTAAAATTCTAATAATATTTATCAGACTGGTTGTATGTGTGTGCATATTGTAAAATTGTCATTAAGAAGCTTTCTATGTGTAGCTGGAGGTGTTGATGGGGTAACTTATAGGTAATGGGAGTTCAAAAAGTCTCTGGACATGGCCTGCCCCTTTACTTTAGGTTAACACTTAAATACTTTTTAAATTTCTTCATATTTTTCTTGATTAAATGTTTCCTTAAGTGTGTACAGTGGGAATCCTACTTCAAAGCACGTGCTTTGGTAGAGCAAAGGGCAGTGGTGTTCCCAGTACCCATGATCACATCCAGTGTCCTCCCGCCCTCTCTGTTTTAGGTTGTGACCTTTCATTCCCCAGCAATAAATTGGTCTCTGGAGATCACTGTAAAATTGTAGTGGATGAAAAATCTGGTCAGGTGGTGCTGGAAGATACCAGGTGAGCTCTTCTTGAACTTCTTTTCTGTTTGCTCTTGTAGCTTAAGAAGCCAGACTTACACAGTGCTTTGCGTATCGTGCTGAGAAGAAGAAATGCTGTGTTTTTCATGAGATAACAGTGGCTTGTTTTCTAATGTATTGAAATTAAAACAAATATTTCTCAGAAATCAGACTTAAAAGACATTGATAAATTTTGGTTCTTGCAAACTTATTCAAGTTTGACTTCTTTTTCTCAAATCGAAAACTATTTTTTGTTAATAAATTCTCATAGAACTTAAGTAGTATGTAGATAGTGGAAAGCTTTCCAACATCTCACTCACACGTTAAAAAATGCATATGTAAGTATATTTATTTTGCATAAATAAGATTATACTACACATATGGTTGTACATATCTGCTTTTTTTTTCACTTACAGTATTTTATGGAGTACTTAACATGTCAGTACATCTGGATCTATCTCATCTTTTTCATTATTTTATGATAATTTACTTGTCATTTTTCTTACTGGTAGACATTTATTATTTTGGCTTTTTGTCATTATAAATGACACTGCAGTGACTCTCCTCCAAACTCTGCATTTATGTCCGATTATTTTCTTGGGATAATTTCTTGGAAGGGAACACTGGGTCAGAATGTGCTTATTTTAAATCTGGTACAAATGGCAGGTGGCCTTCCAGAACTATGTTGAGAGTGTACTTTTCCCACTGAATGATTTTTTTTAATGAGATTCTTTGGTAACTAATAGTTTCAGGGATAGAAGACTAGGAAGTAGACTTTATTAGGAAGAACTGATTCTCCTTTTCCTCTTCTAAGAGGTAGCACATCAAGTTCTTTGTTCTTAGCACAGTGTAGAGAACAGAGTGCTGGTTCTGGAGCCATCCTGCCTGTGTCGGGGTCTGGTTTCTCCATGCTGGCTGTATGACGGTATTAGTTTCTTGTAGCTGTTGTAACAAATTACAAACTTAGTGGCTTAAAACAACACAAATTTATCATCTTATAGTTATGGAGGCCCAAAGTCCAAATCAAGGTCTGGGCAGGGCTGGTTCCTTCTGGAAGCTCTGGAGGAGAATCTGTTCCCTGCTTTTTCCAGCTTCCAAAGGTGCCCATATTCCTAGGCAGAGGAGGGCTGGAGGGGTGGGGGTGGAGGCCCAGAGGTCTCGAGTGGCCAGAGCAAGTGGGGAGTGGCCAAGCCACATTTGGGAGTTCGGGCTTTTGTTGCCTGAGAGCAGTGAGAAGTCAGAGGAGTAGAATAATCAAATTTTTTATTTAGAAAGAGTGTGAGCATAGCTTATGGGGAGAAGCCTGGCAGCAGAGGTCCTAGCTGCACTTTAGTAGTCGAGGTTGAGGTTGGCAAACTGGCTGCCGCTGCTTGTTTTTGTAAGTTTTACTGGGATTGGCCACTCGTTTACACACTGTCTGTGGCTGCTCTTGCGCTGCAGTATCAGAGCTGAGTAGTTTTGACAGAGGCCATGGGACTGTAAAACCTAAACTGTTTACTGTCTGGCCCTTTACAGAACACATTTCCTGCCCCTGACCCCAGGGAACTGTGGTGGAAATCTGCTCAGATAAATCCTCTCCACCACTGGGGCCTTGGGAGTGATGCTGCAGAGCTCAGGCATGTGGTGGTTTGAATGACTGAAATGGGATTGCTTTGCTCAGTGACTGAGTTTTATTTGTTTGGTACACGGTGTTCTTTGTCCGTCATCATCCAGCTGACTCCTGATCTTCCATCAGGTCTCCACTTGAATTCCCTCCCAGGGATGCACTTCCTGTCCCATCTGATTTAGTTTCCTCCTGTCTGTCCCCACCACACCCTGGGCCTGGGGCACCTGCCATGGCCACTTCCACTGGCGCAGACTGGTCCTTGAATGACTCGGGTGCCTGCCCAGGCAGACCTGCACACAGGGGCCCACAGCATCTTCCCCTGAGAGTCCAGCCTTTGTTTACCTTCTTCCTGGAGCCCGTATCTTAGGACGGATAAGAACTTATTTGAAGAATGAGCAGACCAGAGTGGTGGCTGCAGTGGGTGTATCTGTGGACAGTACTAAGTGCGGCTCAGGAGAGGCTGGAAGTGAAAGCACAGTGCCACTGACGAGGCAGGTGGAGGGAGCCTGGCTGTGGAGCAGGAGAAGTGTTAAGTAAGCCTCGATTCAGCGGCTTGGTTGCCAGTTAGGTTGTCAGTAAGGGAAGAACAGGCAAGCTTTTTCTCAAGAGAGTTGAAAGCAGTGCTTGCATATATGCATTGTTAAATAATTACATCATTCTGATGAGTATTTTCAGAATACTGAGCTACTTTCCTAGTGGCGGTAGAAAAAAAATGTTTAACACCAAGTTACTTTAGGATAAATTGCATTTTTGTTTTCTTTACAGTACCAATGGAACAGTAATTAACAAGCTGAAGGTCGTCAAGAAGCAGAGTTGCCCTTTACAGACTGGGGATGTCATCTACTTGGTGTACAGGAAGAATGAGCCAGAACACAGTAAGAGAGAGGAAAACTCACTGGGCTTAGACACATGCATGGCTGGTGTACTGTGGGGAGTCCAGCTGAGGCTGGGAAGCATCTTCAGAAAGAGTCTGTTGAAACAGATAGTTCCTGAAGGAATGTCTGTATTCCCTTTACAGTTTATATAGATTCTTGGTGTAAATAGTATCTGTTGAAGAATGGGAATGTTGACTTTGTAGCCTGAGCTCCAGCCATTCTTCAGGAACACCACCGTGGCCGTGAGCAGTGAATCTAAAAGTGGCAACCAAGGAGAAATGGATGGGAATGGGTTAGGTTATACAGCAGAAGAATCTGAGCTGTGGGGAATAAGACCTAGGAATAGGGGCCTATGGGCCATAGATAGTTATGCTTTTTGAGACTTTAGAGCAGACAGCAAAGGTTACACTGCATTCCAGTGGGACTTTTCCAGCTCCAGGAATCTGTTTGTGGAAGAATGATAACAGGACAAGGGGAGTTTGGGAGTTCTTTGAAGGTCACCTCTGAAATATTTAAAGACCATCAATGGTAAGGAAGGGAAGAAGGGGGCAGATATTCCTTAGGTCATCTTCAGTGTAATCAAAACCAGCCCCTTGCCCACACAGAAGGATTTTGAATCTGTTCCTTTTGGTAGTTTGAAATGATAAGCACAGCATAGATTTACCTTAGTCTGCCTCCTAATGCCAGACTTTTTTTCCTGAGGCTTATGTATTTTAAAGTTTGTAAAGCTGTTTTGGATTACTTGTTTTGAAATAACTCAAACTGATGAATGTTGTTACAAGCTGATAAGTCAAGATAATTAACAGAGACAAGTGGACTGTGGTGTGACTGGAGGGAACAGGAGAGAGATGAATTCTCCCTTGGCTCACGGGCCGTCACTTCTCTGATTGATTCATTTCCTTTTAGATGTGGCGTACCTCTATGAATCTTTAAATGAAAAGCAAGGCATGACACAAGAATCCTTTGGTAAGTAAGATGATAGTAAAGAAGTAGATGAGTGTTAAAGGCTGTTGAATGCTTAAGAGAAACACCTTCCAGTCCACTGGACTGTCTCTCCCGCAGTAGTGGCATCCACCTGGACCTTGAATGTGCGCTCCTGATCCTTTGTGCTTACAGAAGCTAATAAAGAAAACGTGTTCCACATGACCAAAGATACCTCAGGTGCAGGGCGAGGTGACGAACCCCAGCTCCCACCACCGTCGCCTGCCACTCAGGCGTGTTTTGAGGAACCACAGCCATCAACGTCGACCTCAGACCTCTTCCCCACGGCCTCTACCTCTTCCATGGAGCCTGCTTCTGCAGGGCGAGAACTCTCCAGTTCCGGTGAGAGGGATGTGTCCTTATTCGTGTCACATGAGATCATGGTGGTAGTTGTGTAGTTTTTTGTTCACTAATCCTTACCTATGTTGTCACGGAGACAGAGAAGCCACTAAAGAATGGTACAAGGTTCTCAGCAGTAAGATTGCTTAGTAGCAAATATTGACTTGTTCCACCCCCAAGAGAAATGCTGAAGATCAGGGACTGTAGTGTCATGGTTTTTTTAACTATTTGATTGAGATATAATTTACATACCATAAAAATCCCCCCGGTAAAAACATATACTTCGGTGGTTTTTAGTCCATTCACAAGATTGTCTAACCATCACCACTACTTCCAGAACACTTTCATCACCCAAAAGAAAACCCATACCCATGTGCAGTTACTCCCTATCCCCTTCTCCCTCCAGCCACTGGCTGCTCCTAATTTGCTTTCTGTCTCTATAGATTTGCCCATTCTCGACATTTCGTGTACATGCAATCATCTAATATGTGGTCTTGTGACTGGCTTCTTTCACTTGGCATAATGTTTTCAAAATTCATCCAGAGTAGTTAGCACATTATTTAGAACCAGTTTTACGTGTTCCTTATAGCATGAACAGTTTTTACCTTCCTTCATGGTCATTGGGAAAAATTCACACCATCTGGGTACACGCAGTATGATGTGAATGTTTTCTTATAGGTGTTGTTACACTATACATATTAATTTTTTTAATTTACTTTTTTAGTTATTTTTCTGTATTTTTCTTCCAGATTATCTTTAGACTTAGCTTTTTAAGTTTTAAAAAATGTCTTTGAGATTTTGATTTGGGGAGAATGGTGTTTTTCCCTGTTTATTAAGCTCTCTGCTGTTCTCTAGTAGTTTTATATCTTTCTTCAGATAGTTTTGGGATAATTCTTATTTATTCCTAGACCACTTGAGTCTCTCATTCTTACATTGTATAGCAATCTGCAGATTTCTCATGAACAGAAGATCCTTTTAAATCTTAGTTAGGGTGTGTTTGGATGTGACAGAAAACCTGGTTCCCATAACAAGGTTGGAGACACACAGCCCAGAGTGGGCCCAATAGCTCATGATGTCCCAGAGACTTTCCCCTGTTCATTGCTGCTTTTGTATACTCAAGCTTTGCATCTCAGGGTCTCCAGATGGCTGTCAGAGCTTGAGACTTCACAGCCACATTCAAGGAAAGGAACCAGGGAGCATCTGTGAAAAGGACCCTTGTTTCAAGTGGCTGTCTCGCAGCAGTGAGAGAAGTCTCTCTGAGAAGATGCTCCTTCCTTCTCGCTAGCCAGTCTGGCTGCCCTGCTACAGGATATTCATTTTTTTTCCCCATCTGTTTAAGTATCTAGTGGGGTTTTGGGAAGGAGAGGCAATAAGTGCAGGGATGCAGCATGCCTTCTTGAAACTGGACATCTTCTCCCACACCATCTGAACCTATTTCCAGTTTTGTTAATTTGTTTTTTTTACTTCCTAATTCTCTTGCTTTTTCTTAACACAGGCAACCCCCACCTCTCCTATTAGTTATTCTCCGTAAGACTTCTAGGTGCTGCCCCCTTCCTCATCCAGAGGCCCCTTTGGATAACCCTAACTCCTCAGCAGCAAAACCTTCCAAGTAACATTCTTCCCTCTTTTCCCAGGTTGACAACATCCACCATCTGAAGGGCAACATTCTCGTGTGTGGCTGTGACTTTTCAGGACACATGTGAAAGGGCCTCTTAGACGCTCATTGAGATGTTTAGTTGAGAAAAAGGCGGTGGACAGTGAGCACAGGGCAGTCTTCACCCATTACTTCTGGAGATTACATGAGCAGCTTGGACCAAACCAATGACAGAAAGAGTTCCTACCAGCCCGTCTGTCCTATAAACTTCTTTTTTTTTTTTTCCTTTTTGTCTTTTTTTTTTCATGACCGGCAACGGATCACAACCCTCAGTGTCGCGCCCGTACCGGGACTGGCAACGGGATCGCAACCCTCGGTGTTGCGCCCGCACCTCGCTCAGCCAGTGAGCGGCCGGTCTGTATGTGGGATCCGAACCCTCGGCGGGAGCGCCACTGTGCTCCCAAGTGGCGCACTGTAGCAGTGCGCCACCGGGCCGGCCCTGTCCTATAAACTTCTAAACCGTAGCTCCGCCATCTCAAAGGCTCTTTTGATTTACCTTCCTTTTAACTTTATTATCTCAGATCCACAAGTAAAAGAAAATGAAATCACACTTTGAGATGAAAATATGCCAGATTTGGTTGAAGTTTTATAAGCTCTGTAAGCCTGTGTTTTTTCGTGACCGGCAACGGATCGCAACCCTCAGTGTCGCGCCCGTACCGGACCGGGACCGGCAACGGGATTGCAACCCTCGGTGCTGCGCCCGCACCTCGCTCAGCCAGTGAGCGGCCGGTCTGTATGTGGGATCCGAACCCTCGGCGGGAGCGCCACTGTGCTCCCAAGTGGCGCACTGTAGCAGTGCGCCACCGGGCCGGCCCTGTCCTATAAACTTCTAAACCGTAGCTCCGCCATCTCAAAGGCTCTTTTGATTTACCTTCCTTTTAACTTTATTATCTCAGATCCACAAGTAAAAGAAAATGAAATCACACTTTGAGATGAAAATATGCCAGATTTGGTTGAAGTTTTATAAGCTCTGTAAGCCTGTGTTCTCTTCATAGTATCATCCCGATCCCTTAAAACTCAGACCCAGGCATGAATGGAATGCATGTGGTTCTCCACAGCTGTTTCCAGAACCTGGTGCCTCACCCGGGTGATGTTAGCCCCAAAGAGGTAGAAGTGATATTTAGTCCATCTCAGGGTGGCTCCCAAGCATTTCAAGTACAACAAGCATGGACAAGGAGGCAAGTTATGAGCACTTTGTATTGAGTGCAAATCTCCAACTACCTGCCTAGATAAAATATAAGCATGTCTATAGTCCCAGACTGTGTATTTTATGGGGCTATTATAAGACCCTCTTCAGAACTGAAGCACGCAACAGCTCTGGCCTATAGAGAAACCAACTTCACCAGTGAAATTGTTTTCTATTCCATTCTGTCTATATGCATAGCATGGTGTGTAGTGTGATTCTTTTTGAGAATGTTCTCATTTCTTTAAAAGGGCAATACATTTATATATCGTGTATTATTTATTTATTTATTTATTTATTTATTTATTTATTTATTTATTTATTTATTTTTTCTTTCTTCTGACCGGTAAGGGGGTCATGGTGTCGTCTGCACCACGCTCAGCCAGTGAGCACACTGGCCATCCCTATATAGGATCAGAACCCGCGGCCTTGGGGCTACCAGTGCCGCATTCCCGAGTGAGCCACGGGGCCGGCCCATATTGTGTAATTTTTAAAAATAAAATTTTTTTTTTTTTAGGGCCAAGCCCGTGGCGCACTCAGGAGAGTGTGGCACTGGGAGCGCAGCAGCGCTCCCGCCGCGGGTTCGGATCCTATATAGGGATAACCGGTGCGCTCACAGCGCTCACTAGCCGAGCGCGGTGCGGTCGGTCTCAAAAAGGACAAAAAAATAAAAAAATAAAAAATAAATAAAATTTTTTTCTATCTGTATGCTTAAGTGTATACATAGTAGCAAAATAAGTATAGTTTTTTTTTTTTTTTTACCAAGCACCTACTAAATGTGAGGTAGTGTGCTGAGTGCTTTTAATAAGTTATAAGGTAATTCTCACCACGATGGGGCCTGTCAGAGAGGTTTTGTTATTATAATCCTCATTCTGGAGATGAGAAACCTGGTTAAGCAGAGGACTCTCAGGATCACAGCGTGAGTGCCGGCCAGGGGCCAGCCCAGGAAACGTCTCTCTTCCTTCAGTATATGAGTTAATTTGTTCCCAAAACAATTCTCTTTTTTCTTTTGGCTGCTGTAGGCCAATTTCTTCTTTTTTCAAATAATAACACTTACCATTTGAATATTATAAACTAGACACGTATTATACTATGATATTATAAACCATAGGTCTTTATTAAGATAGAGGTTATTTGAAGGCTCGCCTATTTTTCAGGGTCATTCCAGTTGTTTATGACTCTAGCTTCCTGCTTTGTGGATCAGGACTATCCCTGCAAGTTACTGCTCTCTCTCCTCCCCTCTATCTTATTTCTTGGGAAAATAGATCACACTTGCCACCATCCCTGCTTTTGTCTGAAGCTCCTCATCCTCTGTTGGGGTGTCTCTATCTTACACAGACCCCTATTTAGACACCGCTTATGACATAATGTGTACTATGTGGTTATTATAAGGATTTGCTTTGTGTTAGACTCTGTTCCAGGGCTGGTCCCAGTCAGAGGCATCTCTGCGTGTCCTTCCCTGTGAAAGTGTTACTAGCCCCCAAATCCTCCTGGCACTGTGAGAGACACACATGCATTTAAGACTGAATTAAGGGTAGGGGTATTTCTGATGAGCCAGATATCATTCTTAAATGGTGGTATCTTGGATTGCAGGCTGCACTTTACCCACGTGTTTTCCCCTTTTGAGGTGATGAGTGAGAACTTGTCTGCTCCTCTCACAGGATCTGGGGGTGCAGGCATCTCCACAAAAGGACATGGCCCATTTGTGGCAAGTGGTGACATCTTCAGCTCTGCCTCAGCTCTCCCAGTCAGAGAGGGAGCATCCTTTTCCTTGTCGGAACCCCAGGATCAAGAGGATTTGGAGCCCAATAAAAAGAGGATGAAAGGAGGTGAGTCTTGTGGTTGGTTCTATGTGTCTTTTTCTGTCTCGTGAGCTCCGTCAAGCACCTCACGATGCTGGCAGATGCGCTCTGTGCTATGGTGGCCACTGCTCTCTGGGAGGGCCTTGTTTTCTGCAGAAGCATGTAGACCCTGCCTCATGTTGATACCTGTAACACAGCATTTTCTGAATGAGCTTTTTCTTTCCTGTTTTCATAATCTGGATAGAACTGTATTTACTACTGGGCTGTGCTCTTGGTCTGGAAGCAGTGCATTCCGAATTACAGAATTGATCTAAAAGTCCTGTGTTCTGTTGTGACAATAATTTATAAAAATACGTTATCTTTAAGTGATGGTTTAAAATTTCACATTGAAGATGATGTAAATAAAAATGTACACTTTAAAAGCCAAAGTTAAAAAGATTATAAAAAACATTTGGGGACGTTGTGGTAGATGATAGCTATGCAGCAGGCCCAGAGAGCAGCCAGCAACTGGAGCAGTGTGACAGGAGAGAGGTTCTGGGGGAGAAACTGGATCATCTGGTTTCTGAGTGGCACTGAATTGGGAGGCCATGGAAAGTATCACCAGCACTTACATAAAAAAAATAAGGAAGTATAAGAATGAGGCAGTTTTTAACAAGAGCAAAAGTTAAAATTTGTATAAGGCAGAATAATTAATTATAGTACACTACTTGGCTCAGCAGTGAATGCTTACATAAGCATAACAATATAAATGCAAGATAATGAACCAGTAGTGTGTTATGATAATATTGGGAAGGGAGTCTCTACCTAATAGATGTCAGCAGATGATGTCTAAAATTGATAAACAAGATGTAGCATTATAATTCAGAAACACTGAGGTAAATACCAGAAGAAACAGCTAAAAGACACGAAAGTAGTTTCTTCCATGGAGAGAAATTGAGGAGAGGCTAGGGCAGAGGATGGCTGCCTTTGTTTTCTTCTAAATATTTGACCTTTTAAATTGTATGTAAGTTTTTCTTTAATTAAAAATAAAAATTAGTCTGTGATTACCAAGCGTTATAGAATTATGGGCATTATAGAAAAATTAGAACACTCCAGAAGAAAAAAATTTCTAAAGCAACTGGTAACATCTTAATGAGTCCATGCTTTCCAGCACTTTCCTGTGTACATGAGTCATGTTTTTTTGTTTGTTTAAACAAAAATGATGGCTATGTCAACCATTCTAAAACAAAACTTAATCATCCTGGAATATGAGACTTACTTGGGGCTTTCTTAAAATCCTCCTTTATAAATATAGACATGGCTAGGACTGTGTGTCTTCTGCTTCTAGTGGGCAGTAGAGGTCTGAGGATTTTCTGAGTACAGGTTAAGACATTTGTAAAACCAAAAGACTGTGCATTTATTTCCTCCTTTGTTGTGACAGCTAGAATGCATCTCTTTCTCTCGCAGACAGGGAGCTTGACCTGAACCTTCACTTGTTAGTCACAGACCAATGTAGAAACACCCAGACTATCTGTGAGGAGGTCAGAGCTGTGGCCGTGAAGCCAGACAAGATGGAGGAGACACTCACGTGCATCATCTGCCAAGACCTGCTGCATGACTGCGTGAGGTATGCTGGCCTCATGCCCCAGGGAGCTCACAGGGAGCAGACAAGGTACAGCACATCCCTGTCCATGGGGGAGGAGGTGGCCATGGACAGCAAGAACCTTTGGGTTTTGTTTGGCATGGAATCTGCTGTTGAGGTTACCATTTTCATTTTACTTGTGTGGCAAACAAGGAGAAAACCTGGAGCCTGGAGACCACCGCTGTAGAATCCGCAAGATTTTGTCTGCATTGGTTTTGACTGACACGGTTCATGAGTAAGCTAGAGAGCCTGGTCTCCACCTTGCACACAGATGAAATGAACTGTAAAGTTTTTTTTTTTTTCCTTTTTGTCTTTTTTACTGACTGGTAATGGGATCGCAACCCTCGGTGTCGCGCCTGCACTGCGCTCAACCAGTGAGCGGACCGGTCTCTATATGGGATCCGAACCCTCGGCGGGAGCGCTGCCGCACTCCCAGGTGGCGCAGTGTGCCACTGGGCCGGCCCTGAACTGTAAAGTTTTAAATGTTTCCTAGTAAAAGAATGTAGTATTTAACACCAAGTGAATGTGCCAGCAGTAGCTTAGGAAGAGCCTAGTCCTTGCTTTTCTTTGAAATATAAGACTTAGAGCCTATCCGACTATCAATGTAAAAACACTTGTCTCTGTTGCTCGTATTCCTGAAGTCCTGAAAACACAGAGGCACATGGTCTCTAGTTTCTTTTCATTAACCAAGACTAAGCTGAAGTATTTTTAGGTTGAATAATGGACAGGCCCCATAGTAGGCCTGTGGCTCGGATTCAGTAGGCCCTTCTGTCTGGGTGGGCCTGCTGCAGACCTTGGTCCGAGGGTCACAATTACAAATCTGTAGATGCTCTGGCTTCTGAGCTTGTGCTTTCAGTTTGCAGCCCTGCATGCACACATTCTGTGCAGCTTGCTACTCTGGCTGGATGGAGCGCTCGTCCCTGTGCCCCACATGCCGCTGTCCAGTGGAACGAATCTGTAAAAACCACATCCTCAACAACCTCGTGGAAGCGTACCTTATCCAGCATCCAGGCAAGTGGGGGCAGCCCACCCAGACCTTTCCTCCTTCAGGTGCTGGGGATGCGAGCTCAGCTGTGAATGGCCTAGGCTGTGTCCACCTGGGTATGTCTTCCTGCCAATGAATGGTGCTGTGTTCTTTGAATTTTAGACAAGAGTCGCAGCGAAGAAGACGTGCGAAGTATGGATGCCAGGAACAAAATCACTCAAGACATGCTGCAGCCCAAAGTCAGGAGGTCTATTTCTGATGAAGAGGGGAGTTCAGAGGACCTGCTGGAGCTGTCAGACGTTGACAGTGAATCCTCAGACATTAGGTAAATCCTGCGCTTGCTGGAGGTATAGTCGGTACAGTGCCTGAGAGTTTACTCCTGGGGTGGACAACATGGGGTCTGAGTCCTGGCTTTGCCCCTTAGCAGCCAAGTTCTTTAGTAGTTTGAGCTTGTTTTCTGACATTGGGTGGTAACAGCACCTCCCTGGTGAGGCGGGGCGAGGGTGGGATGAACACTGACGTTCAGCCAGGGTGTGAGCTGCAGGCAACTATGATATGTCTTTCGATCTTCCTCTGATGCCACGCCCTGGGCCTCGATTCACTGGCTATGACAAAAAGTCGTAATTTAGTATGTTAGTTTTTTCCTCACACAGCATACTTATTCTTTGTAGTTTATCTAGTGATCATAACATCCTGCACCATGAGTTGCAGTATTTATCATTTCTCAGGATATTAGTACAGAAAAGGCACAATCATCTGGTTGAGAGGATACAGTCATAGGAGACTTTAACTGCTAACATGTTGGTGTTTGCTAACTCAGAAGCCCAGCATCTGAATTTTGGGTCAAAGCCATGATATATAAAAAAACAGTAAACAAGAAAATCCCAAAACTTTTATTATCTTTGTTTCTTTGTACAATATTTAGCAAGTGATAGCCAAGCAAAAAGAAGAAATTAGCATTTTATTATATCCATTTGGTTGTTCATATGTGTATTGATGCATTTATGCTTTCTTAACAAAATAGAATTTAATATACTAATACACTTTTGTGAAGATGAGATTATACTGTATGTATGATTCTGTAATATTTCCAACATCGTGCATTTGGAAACAGTGCCGCAGTGCCTATCCATACGTTTATATTTGTGCACGTGTCCAGTAATTTCATGTAGACAGACATGGAGAAGGGAAGTCATCAGGTCAGGGAACACAGCCAGGATACCAACTGCTGGACCCGCGATGTGCGTTATCCAGTAACCCATCAGAGAGGCGTGCCAGGGCCACTCTGCAAGGTGCACACAAGGGGTTCTTTGCTAGTTTAGTGGGACGAAAAGGTAATCTTGTTTTTGTTTGCATTTTTTGCGTTTTTTTCTCACAAATGAGGTTGAGCATCTCTTTTCATTGCTTTGTTTTTATCTAGTCAGGTCTTACCCATTCTTCACTCCTTGGGTCTGTCATTGATATCACGTTTAGGAGGCATTCTCAGAGAGAGAGAGAAGAGGAATCTTACGTATTTTTTCCTGTGGATTTCTTTTTTACAGTCTACTTTTGTCTTTAGTAGTTTCTGAAAGTACAGTCGAAGTGTAGTAAGGCAGGTGGCTCGGGGCATTGAGGGCATGCAGATGTGGGGTGGAGGGCCCTGCCAACTAGGCAGAAGGTGACTGGAGGATAGCGCGTTAGCCCTTGTGCTTTGTACCCTGGTTTTTACAAGGGGACAGCACAGAGCGCTTCCTGAGATGCATGGGAGCACGCTCTCGCACAGACTGGGCAAGCGTAGCAGGGCCCCAGCCTACTTACCCATGTGAGCCAGGTTTTGTCCCAGCGTGAGAGCGTGAGAGCCATGAATATGCATCCTGCTGTGGGACCTGAGAGGCCCCCAGGGATGCTGGGCAGGGAGGCGGGCCGGCCCTTCCCTTCACATACACCAGACAGCCACAGAGTGAGGACAGAGATGAGGCCTGGCACAGGGAGGAGGTGGCAGATCAACGCTGCCTTTAGTTGCCACCTGGCCCTGCACCTGTGAAACTCCCATGGTCTCAGCCCTGCCATATACTCACCTTGCAGTCAGCCATACATCGTGTGCAGACAGTGTCCTGAGTACAGACGGCGGGCGGCACAGCCCCTTCCCTGCCCAGCACCCGACAGTGAGCCAGGGGCTCCTCAGGCTCTCGGGGACGCGCCCTCGACGTCTGCCAGCCTCACAAGAGGTGAGACAGCACACCTTCCCATGGCTTTGTCCTTCTACTGCCAACCTCTGCTCAACTCTCTCCTGTGCCCCTCCCTGCCCTCCTGTCGTCTGCCTCATTGGTCCCACTGCTTCTTCTGGCTTGTTGATTTTTATAATTTGGGGCTAAAGAATGAGATAAGTAACTGTTTGTTTGTGGTTTCCCTCCTGGACACTCCTGGGAATTAACTATCCTGATTTTAGCACTTGGTCTCTCCCCCAGCCTGCTGCTTCAGGGCAGCTGACTTTCCCCAGTGGGGTTTGCCCAAACCAAAATGGCGTCATGCACCCATCCCTTGGACAAGAGGCTGGCTTCTCCCCAGCCATGGGTGCTGATGTTCTAGAAGCTGTCACTTGTCTCCAGAGTGGCCCTGAGCACTCTCCTGTCAGTTTCCTGTTTCCAGCAGGTGGGTGCCCAGGTGCCATCCAGGAAGATGAGGCAGAGCTGGTCAGGGGCTTCTGCAATGGCAGTTCTTGGCCCATCCACTCTGGTTCATGCAGAGCAGAAAGGCGGCCCTCAGGCCCTGCCTCTTGGCCGCTGGCTGGCCTGAGCTCATCATGTGGCCGCTGACCTGGGACTGTGGCTCAGAGTCACATTCTTAGCCATCCTGCTGGAATACTGTGCCACTGTTCTCTCAGTGGCTCCTTGTAGACCCTGGGGATGGGACAGGTGAGGCAGTGCTTGGCCACAGGTGTGGACACTTGTCTTGGGCCTAGTTTAACCTTCCACTCACCAACGTCATCTGGGCCACTAGACAGGCTCCCTCCTTTGCTTAGTGGGGGCCTACCAGCACCTCCCTCTGGACTTCTTAGAGTCCTGCTTGAGACCATGCATGTGGGACATGTATCACATATAGACAGACAGAGTCCCTTCGTAGGTGCTCAGTGAACATTAGCCGTGGAATTGCTGTGTGATGCTCAGTGGTGAGCTCCCCGGGGTGAATGTCCAGGGAGCTCGGCCACATAGACGCAGAGTTCTGGTGCTGAGTCAGTCAGTCTGCTCTCCGTGCCAGTTGACTGTTTATTCAAAGGATACAGATGTTCTCTCACTGCGGCCAAAATTAACTCTGTAACTTGCTTTGTTGCTTTATGATGCTTGTATGTGCTTTATGGGCCTGACCTTGCTTTATAGGAAATAGTAGAAAACCTTCCACCCATCTTTGAAATCTTGCTATAATCACTGGACCAAAAGACAATTTTGGGTTACTTTTTTTTTTTTTTTGTCGGTTAGCCAATACGGGGAACTGAACTCTTGACCTTGGTGTTACAAGGATGTGCTCTAACCAACTGAGCCACCCATCCAGACCTGGGTTACTTCTTCATGTATTTGAACTCCCTTGGTTGAAACGGTAGAATGTCACTGGGCTATTTAGGAGAACAGGTCTGATTCTCTCTGTTTTTTTTTTTTTTTAAAGATGACAGGTAAGGGGATCTCAACCCTTGGCTTGGTATTGTTAGCACCATGCTCAGCCAGTGAGCCAACCGGCCATCCCTATATAGGATCCGAACCCGTGGCCTTGGTATTATCAGCACCACACTCTCCCGAGTGAGCCATGGGCCACCCCTTCTCTGGTTTTCTCTTAGGGTCTGTTTCCCCTCCTCTGTACTTTCCAGCTGCCTCTCTAGGTGTCAGTCTTTAATGCGCTGTCTTTCTGCCTGTGTCCCGACATGCTCCGGCCTTTGTGCGTGTGCACTTCAGCCTCAGGTTACGTGTGTCCCCTGCAAGGCAGCCACGCCATATGTACCTGCTGCTTCCAGCCCATGCCTGACCGGAGAGCAGAGCGCGAGCAGGACCCCCGTGTTGCCCCTCAGCAGTGTGAGTAAGCCACGCTGGGTCCACCTGCAGTGCCCTCCCTCAAGCAAAAGATTTTCCCATGTGTCCTTCAAGGCTCAGTTTCAGAGTGGTGTGGGCTGTTGTGCAGCATGCGAAGGAAGGCTTCAATTTCTTTTTTTTTTTCTATCTGCATAATCAATTGTCCCCACATGACCATATCGAATAATCCATCTTTTCCTACCAGTTGATATCACCATCCCATTATGGACCAAGCTTCCATACGTGGGTGGTTCTCTTTCTGGGGTCTGTATCTATATCCGTTCCCACATCAGTACCACAGTCTCTTTATACAGGTTGAGCATCCCTAATGCAAAAATCCAAAATCTGAAATGCACCAAAATCTGAAACTTTTTGAACACCGATATCATGCTCAAAGGAAATGCCCATTGGAGCATTTCGGAGTTCCAGATTAGGGTTGCTCAACCAGTTAAGTGTCTGCACATAATCCAAAAAAGTCTGAAATTTGAAACATTTCTGGTCCCAAGGTTTTCAGATAAGAGATATTCAACTTGTAATGTTCCAGTTTAAATCAAACAGATGAAATATGATGACTTGTTTTAATTTACACTCTTACTATTAAAATGGAGCTTTTATTAAATGGCTATTTGAATTTATTTGTGACCGAAATGTATTTTCCTTTTTTTTGTTTCAGTCTTTTTCTTTGGCGGCTGGCTGGTACAAAGATCGAGTCCTGGACCTTGGTATTATGAGCACTATGCTCTAACCAACTCAGCTAGCCAGCCAACCCGTTTTAAAACTTTCTGATATGTACGAGTTCCTTATACATTAAAGTATCACTGTGGGGTGAAGAGAAACAAACCCACTTAGCAGTGTCAGTTGGTTCCTGCTGTGCACAAGGCATGATTCTGGGTGCTGTGGGCACAGCAATGAGCAGGCTGTAGATCACGGTGCAGGGTCTCTTTTAGAATGACTTAGAAGTGTTCTGGGCACTTAGAGGAAACCACAGGGGTTACTCTTGGGACAATTGTCCTCCTGAGGCTGGATGTAGTGCAGGTATAGGGTGGGGCCTGGCAGAGCTGGTATGTGGACGCCAGGTCGGATGGTATGCAGCTGGTCCAGACATACCCAGCAACCTCTGTGTGTCCCCTCATCTGCACGGCAGTCATTGCTCATGGCTTGATGCCCTGTGTGGGAAGGGCTCAAATGAGAAGTCACAGAGAGCAGGGTTATCAACAAATGGCAGCACAGGGGAGGGCTTTAAAAACTTGGCAAGAGGCCATAATCTTTACTTTTGACTCTGATTTCATATAGAATATTTTTATACATGGAATCATTATGAAGCAATCACAGATTCTTTTTTTTTTGGCGGCTGGCTGGTATGGGGATCCAAACCCTTGACCTGGCATTACAACACTGTGCTCTAACCAGCTAAGCTAACCGGCCAGCTCAGTCACAGAGTTTAAAAGGCTTAAATCTTCAGCTCTATGAGAATTTTTGCTAGAATTTACCTAATATTATATTCTAGGGCATTCCATTCTATAGCATATGAAACATTAAAAAATAATGTCTACAAGGGCAAGGTAACAACAAGAAAAAATGCTCATGTTAGGTAGAAGAAAGCTGTCTAAAAGATGTGACTATACCTTTGATTGCAAGTGTGTTACATGTTCAGAGCCAGAGGAAACCCATCAGAGCCCTGTTGGGTGACAGGCAGGTATGGTTTTTTCTTTTGTGGGTCTTGCTGTTTTTCTGGGCTGAGCGCGTGTACAGTGTAAGCAACAATATGGGTCTGACCTTTTTTTAGGTCCCAACCCTTAGTCATCATAGTTCAGTCACCTTTGACATTAGCGGGGGTATGGCCTCTGTTCCCAAGTTCCATGGAAATTCCTCTTAAATGGTGTTTTCAAAGAGAGTTGAGTTCCTGAGTCTGGTTTGGATTTAATCATGCCAGAGACAAGTTGCAGGACCAGGGTTGCCTGACTGACTGTCCTCTGTCCACAGGTGCAGTTTGCCTACAGCCCTTCTGCCACCTGTACTGGGGTTGCACCCGGACCGGCTGCTTCGGCTGCCTGGCCCCATTCTGTGGTAATATCGGCTCTTCAGCCCCAAGTGGCTTTGACCTTTACATGTTCTCTTGGTGAACTTGAGGGCAGGGATGGTGGTGTCCGTGGCCTACTGTATGCAAAGAAAGGGGGAGGCCACTGTTAGTCACCAAGTAATTAACCATCCTTTCCTGCTAAACTGCAGAGGTTTGCCATTTAGGAGCATCAAATTCTTGTTAGCTCAGAATCAAGTAGTAACAGAACAATGAGAGGAAATACTAACTTCCCACACAAAAGGGCTTATTTATGTGAATAAATACACCACCATGGAAACAAGCGGTCTTGCTGCAGGATTCAGATTTCACGATACCAGAGGCTCAGAGACTCAGAGAGCATGGATTGGAAGTCATTTTTACTTGTTCTCTGTTTAAAGTTGTACTTTATCATGGGACTTCTTATTCTTTCTAGAATCTCTAATGGAAAGAAAGGTGGTTGTCCTAACAGATAACGTTGCGTCCCTTCCTCCCGGCAGAGCTCAACCTGGGCGACAAGTGTCTAGACGGAGTGCTGAACAACAACAGCTACGAGTCCGACGTGCTGAAGGTAGTGCCCCATACCTGCCCTGCCAAGAAGAGGCCGCCTGTAATCTGTTACTTTCAGACTAGGGCAGCCAGGCAGTTCTCTGCATTCCGGTGGTATACGTCCCCATATTCCAGAAATAGGTATTTCCTTTTTTGCCCATGAGGCCACAAATCCATAGGAAGAATTGGTTCCTGCAGCTCACAGAGGGAGTGTCCTGGAAGTGCAGACGCTTTGGTGGAGCTGGGGCCTTCTCTCTGGCTCCTTCCTTTTCTGGCCATTGTCCTTCCCACATTTGAGGAAGCCAGCTTGGTTCTTCTCTTAGAATTTTAACGTGCTGAACATGCACCTCTGCCCTATTGCCAAGAACCTCACCTCCCTCCTGTTTGCAGCACATACACAGTGGGGCCTTCCTGTTGCCGTGGACACACCAGGCTGCCATGTCCCGCTCAGCAGTATCACATTGGTCGATGTCCACAGTGGCACTGTTTTGTGGGTTTGCACAGAAGGGGCTAAGTGGCTGCATATTTCTGAAGGGCAGAGAGAACAGCGCTCGGCATTTCTGCCACACTGATGGTGGCTGAACTTTGTGGAAACTGCAGAATTCTTGAGAACGTGGTCACTCTTAGACTCAAGGTTCAAAGGCTGGCCTTCCTGAGGTGCTGAAGAAACTGTCAGTCAAGAGTCCCGTGGAACCATAAGTGAGCGTGCTGCCCGCAGTGTTCCCAGGTTGGCCTGTGCCATTGCCGCGCTTTACCCACTTTCAGGGCCATTTATGGGATGTTTCTTCTCTGGTCATTCTAGTGTTTCTTCCTCAAAACTGGTATTCTTATTGCCCTTTTTTTCCACCACAGAATTACTTGGCAGCCAGGGGTTTAACGTGGAAAAACATGTTGACGGAAAGTCTGCTGGCTCTTCAGCGGGGAGTATTTCTGCTGTCTGGTAAGCTCTGTCTGCTCTGCCTTCTTCATTTCAGAATGCACGTGACTTTCATCTTGTAAAGCAGCAGAAACCTGGGCAGTACTACCTATCTACTTTCCCACATTCACGGCTTTGACCTGGCAGGAGGGGTAGAAACGTCCCAAGACTTTTGGATTGTTTTTCAAGCATTGGGTATGAACCCCCATGACACCTTCAAGCACCTCCTCTCCCCACAGGGAAGGCGGGTGCAGCGTGGAGAGACTCTTCCACTTAACTGCCTTGAGCCCTGGGAGCTGGTTGTTCTCAGACTCTCCAGGTCCTCGTTTCTGTCATTTGGGGTGTGGATCACTCAGAGAGGGTTGTCCTCTCCCAGGCGAGCACATAGCGCCTTGTGAAGTATGATTTTTGTCAATGAGGGAGGCTGCAGAAATATTAACAGCGATAGTTTTCTAAGACATAAATCACTGAAAAGAAGACTGAGAGGTTTACTTAAAATCCCTTCAAGCTTTTTCTGTCTTGCTGTCACATGCTTGTGAGCATCTCATATGTGGGTGTTGGGTGTTCTGTGCTGGGACAGCTGCTGTGTGGTGTCCAAATCTGTCAACTGGGTCAGAACACCTTTAGCTTTTTTAATGGCTTGGGTTTTTTATTTTTTATTTTTGCTGAAATGTATGTTTGTTTTTTGGAGGCTGGCTAATAAAGGGATCCAAACCCTTGACCTTGGTGTTATCAGCACCACACCCAACCAAGTGAACTAACCACCAGCTGGCTTCTTATTTTTGTAAGGGTGATACAGCTCACAGAGAAATTGTGAGCAATACAGGGAAGTACAGAGGATAATGTAAAAGTCACTGAAAATACCACCACCTAAAAACACATGCAGCAATGAGGTTTTCATGACTACCCTTCCAGGCATCTCTAAGCACAAACGCCTGTATGTGTGCGTAACATCCACAAGTGAGATTCTACTTGTGTGCTGTTTATAACCTAGTTTTCACTCATTAGTATGTCATGGACTCCTGTTTGTCAGTGTATATCTATACCTTGATTTTTTTGTTATTATACAGTATTCTAATATTGTGGTTTATTTAGCCAATTCAATAATAAAGAATATTTAAATTATTTCCAGTTTTTCACTATTTTAAACAGCACTGCAGTTGCTGAGCATGCGGTATTGTAGATTTGAAAAATTGTCACAGGGCCAGCCCGTGGCTCACTTGGGAGAGTGTGGTGCTGATAACACCAAGGCTGCGGGTTTGGATCCCTGTATAGGGATGGCTGGTTAGCTTACTTGGGAGAGCGTGGTACTGACAACACCAAGTCAAGGGTTAAGATCCCCTTACCGGTCATCTTTTAAAAAAAAAAAAGAAAAAGAAAAGAAAAATTGTCACCTCATTCAACTATGTTACAATAAAAAAATTTAAAGAAAAAAGAAAAATTGTCACCTTAGGATAAATAAATAGGATTCTGAGGACAGTGGTGCCCACAGCTGAAACTTTGTCGCATGAACACACTGTCCTCCCCCAGGTTGTGCTGGCTGCTGCTGGGGCCTGAGGCCTGGGGGTGTACATCCCCAGCCTGTCAGCTTCACACATGCCTTCAAATCTTGTAAATACGAGGACAAGAGCGATATATCATTGCTTTATTTGCCTATGTTTGGTTATTAACAAAATTGCATTTATGGTTCATTTGCTGTCTCTGTTCTTGGCCCACATTTATATTAGGGTGTCTGGATTTTTTTTTTTGTATGGATTTGTATGGTGTCTTTGTTCATTAAAGGTATAAGACATTGTTATTTGTGTTGTAAATATACTTCCTCTACCTACATCATCAGTATTCCACCTTTGTTCATTGTATATATTTCATTTTGATGTTTAAATTGTAGGTAGTCAAATTTACAAATCCTTTTCTGTGTGCTATTTGGTTTTTATGACATATTTAGAAATAGCTCAAGAGAAAATAATATTCATTCCAGTTTTCTTCTTGGTACTTTTAAAGATCTTTTTAACATTAAAAATTTTTTATCCATGTGGGATTATTTTGCGGTGAGAAAATATATTGGTATCCAGGTTGGTTTTGTTCTTGTTTTCCAAATGCCTAGCCCATCCTCTCTACCCCGTTCATGGGTCAGTGTGTTAGTTTCCCACTATTTTGAAGTGGTGCATTTATTCTGCTGTTTTGGAAGACGACATTGCTTGGTACCTGGCTGTGCCTGCATGAGGCTGTGTTCCTTCCAGATTATAGAATCACTGGAAACACTGTGCTGTGTTACTGTTGCGGCCTGCGCAGTTTCCGAGAACTGACCTATCAGTATCGGCAGAACATTCCTGCTTCCGAATTGCCAGGTGAGGAACCCCACCCCGAACTCCAACTCTGTCTGGGTTGGCTTCTACTCTCTTCTCAGCAGATACTCCGTTGGGCCTTAGTTCCATGTTCTTAGCAAGAGTCTGCATCTGCCAGAAGAGGACGGCAGATGGGCTATGCGAAGCTATGTTTGTCTCAGAGACTGGGTCTGTTTGCCATTGCTAATGAAGGCAATGTGGGTTTCTAAAACTAAGACGCATAAAGACATCCAATAGATACCTGAAGTAATTTCATTTTCTAAATTGCGTTTTCAGTTAAACATGTTTTTCTTTTCCTGAAATCTTGGAACAGTCCCAGATTATAAAGAGTGATATGATGCTGTGCATTTCAGCACTTAAATTCCACTTAAATTCAGTTGGCTGAGTTGGTGTGTGTGATATACCTTATATGCATGTGTAACTTTTTTTCTTTTTCTAGTGGCTGTAACATCCCGTCCTGATTGCTATTGGGGCCGTAACTGCCGCACTCAGGTGAAGGCTCATCACGCAATGTGAGTGAGGCTGGGGAACCCCTGTCAGCCGTGGTCCTTGAGGCTCACAAGGCAAAGGAAGTAGTCAACTGTTTATAAATATTTCTGATTTAGTCATCTTGCTTCTATAAAGTCACGTTGTATGTGAAATAGCATCTTCATGTAGAAATTCTGAACTTCTTCTGTTACCTCATTTCATGAAATGTTTGTGTGCATGTGTTCACCTCCATCTTCCACCTCCATGTCTTCATGGCTGGAGTCACATTATCCATCGTCTGATAGGGGCCGGCCCGTGGCTCACTCGGGAGAGTGCGGTGCTGATAACACCAAGGCCCCGGGTTTGGATCCCATATGGGGATGGCTGGTTTGCTCACTGGCTGAGCGTGGTGCTGACAACACCAAGCCAAGGATTAAGATCCCCTTACTGGTCATCTTTAAAAAAATAAAATAAAAAAATAAATAAAATAAAATAAAATAAATAAAAATCCATCGTCTGATAGCTTGCAGGTGACATAACACACTGTCACTTGAGGTTTAGCAGTTTCTGAACTGGTGACTGCCGTCACTGAGAACTTCCATCTCAGGCCACAGCCCCACTTACCTAATGCTATTACAGCTGGGTTTTCTTTTACTACAGCTGGGTTTTCTTTTATACTACGTGGGTGTTTGTGGTTGCTGTAACTCAGTTACCCTTACTGTGGTGTCTTTCATGTGGTCTTTAAAGGATGTTTACAGTGATATCTGTATTGCCCTATGAGGTCAGGTGTAATCTCTCCCCCTCCATTTTTAAACAGTTAGATGAGATGCTCACTATAAATCAATCCCATGGCCAGTGTGTAATCCCAGTCATTTGTGGTTCAAATTAAAGTAATTGAGACAGTTCCCTCAGAATGAGAGATGTCTTGAGGATTCAGGTAAAGGCGACTCTCTCTAAGGAGTGCTTTTGTGGAATAAAAACCTTGCTTTGTATTTAAGCATAAACAGCATGTGGAAGAGACCACTTTATCATGAGATTTCACTAGTAACTGGCTAAACTTTTTTAATAAAAACATGGCTAAGGCTAACAAAGGCATGCCACATCTTCCTCTGTGGGTGAGATCCTGCTGTTGCCTGTTTGTGGAGAGGAAAGGTGGGTGCATCTGTCTCAGACCTGCCAGGTGACCCACAGTGCCACGGGGAGGCTCTGAGGAAGTACAGCTATGATTCTGTTCTCTAAGAAAATTACCTGAGATGTTTTCACTTATGTTTTAAAGTTTCAAAAGGGAAAAAGAAGGCTACCTTTGGGGATCAGTTCCCTTTGATGTTATTAAAAATATAATGTCATGGGCCGGCCCTGTGGAGCACTGGAGAGTGCGCCGCTTGGGAGTGCGGCGGCGCTCCCGCCGAGGGTTCGGATCCCACGTGGAGACCAGTTCCCGCTCACTGGCTGAGCGCGGTGCGGGCGCAACACCGAGGGTTGCGATCCTGTTGCCGGTCCCCGGTACGGGCGCGACACTGAGGGTTGCGATCCCATTACCAGTCAGTAAAAAAGACAAAAAGGGAAAAAAAAA